TCTCCGACTTTTAGGAGGCTCTCCAAAGCTCTCCAAGCTGGTTGAAACTTGGAGATTCCCGCGGTTTGGGATCAGCGCATGCGGACTACCACTAAAAGCCACGTGTTCATCATGAGTGTACGCATTTCCCTTTCCGCATACGCACACATACAAACAAAATGTCGTCACTCAAGATCGCGGCCCTTTGACGCTTCATTTTGCTTGACATGTGCAAAATATCCCCGAATTCTTCGAGACCCGTTCTTGAGTAATCCAGTTTCTTCGACTTCTCTTTTCTTCTTCTTCTTCTAGAAGCTAGAGAATATAAGAACGCACCCTAAGTTAGCCTGAGTTTTCAGCATCCGGAAAAACTGGACGCCACACAAAGGTATATTATCACAGGGATTGCTACAGATTTTTGACTTGTCCGTTAACTCAAGCACAGCCACTTACACGCTTAGAAGTTATCCATTTCACAAACCCTTTCCACTCTGATGCTGAGCCTGGTCGAAAAATCTGGTGAATGCCTAAAAGTCTGTGTTCACAGTAAAGAGGCTGTTAGCGAGATGATAAAGTTCTAAATTCGAGCAAGAGTACATAACACCCAATAATGTGCAACTCCAGCCATGGGGTCCGGGCGGCAGAACTTCACATCACCTGATGAAACCCGCACACATTTGTACCCTGTGCATGATAGATGCAGGGTCGTACGCAACCCTGCTTTGCGTTCAACTCGCTTGTGGTCACTTTGCACTGCTTGCCAGCGTAACGTTTTGGACCGTGCCAAGTGAAGTGAAGTTCTGTCATCGCAGCACCCTATAGAGGTTGCGCAGGCAGTTGCACACTCTTGGGGGTTATGTACTCTTGATGGGAGTGGCAAGCTCAAGTTTTAGGGTACAGCCTGACGGGGTCTCACCTCTTGGTGGGGTGCCGGTGGAGGTGAGTGAAATTGTGTAGATCTTCGGGACGTATATATCGATGCGCGATCGGAAATACGTGCCCTTGTGTCCGACCTTCATCAGAATGCGGATTGGATCGTGGTGGAGGCGGACCGTAAAGTTTTGCGTTTCAAACCACTCGCCTGCCACCTGGTCGTAGTACTCCACCTCCGCTTCCCAATGCACTACGTTATGCTGCATGAGGAGGCTGGTCCGGTTGGGAGTATGCACCATAACATCTGTAGTAGGCGACAGATAGGGGCGGGAATGGGTGAAAGGATAGGTAGATACAGGATAGGACAAATCGTTAAATCGTTAGAATTAAATGCTCATTACTAGTCTTACAGCACGCGTTTGGTATGGCCGATGCAAAGCTACGGCGGCCAACAATTGCCCAGCCATGATACAGACTGACAGTATACGAGCACACAGTAAGCTTGTATTTATGAGCAGATGTGGGCGCACTTGGCTCACTGCCTCATCAAGCCAAGATGCTTACAGTTCTCCCTTTGGGGATTGCTTTCACTAGAACGATGGATTCAGAGTATTGATAGGGTAAGAAGTGGCGACCAGAAACACCCCAAGGTTGTCAAACAGCTCTGATTGCCAGCACAGGAAGGAGCAAAGAGCAATAACAGCAAGAGCTGGAAGTATAGCAAAACCTGTCAAGGCGACCACTTTGATAAGGCGACCACCTGTCCCAGGAGACCACTACAACCAGGACCAATGGAGGTTATTTCCAGTCCAATGACCCTTGAAAAGAAGACCCCCTCCCCTGTACACGGGGACCACATTTGCAAGGTCCCTTGAGCCGGCACCTTAGACAGGTTTCAATGTAATGCATATGCTCCGAAACAGCCTCATACCGACTTGCAGGGTAACAGAAGGCATCATATAATTATTATGTTGGCCAAGGGAAAACCCCATTGCAGGTACATGCGCGCTGGTGGATTGCTAATTCCGGTCACCCTGCCACGCAAGGACTTATATTTGGGAAAACAAACACACACACACACACATGCACGCATGCACACACATTCACACACACACACACACACACACACGCACACACACACAATACATTATGCCCATTCGGAGATGATTGCAGATCCCGAAGGGACCAACAGTGTTCAAGTCACGAGCCTGGCGAGTCAAGTCCTGGCAACGGCGATAGCGCTTTCCACAAGTGCAAACGAAGTGTAAGGTGACAGGCTCGGTCGGAGGAATGGTGCTGCATGCTGATCTCCACTCTCTGCTATCCTCGGCGAGGTCGTACCAGTCCACTATCTGGCGCTCCTTCATGTCGGACACAACATTGTTCCATCCCCGCTTCCGGGGCACATGACATGGCCGGGTCTTGTCCAGTTCGCCGAAGAGGATACACTTTGGCATACGGGAGTCATCCATTCGAGCAACATGGCCTAACCAGCAGTGTCGACGCATTTACACCACTTTTGGGCCAGATGACTGCTGAGATCTCGGCTTGCTTGGCGAAAGCTTCCCGAGCATTTGGCACATTGCGCTCATCTGTCTTTTCCAATCGCGATCTCTCCATCAAGACGAAGGTGCACGTATATTCGGCCGTTGTCTTGTCGACGCTGCTGTATGGTTGTGAGACCTGGGCAACTAAGGCCGTGGATGTTCGTCGGCTTGCAGCCTTTCATCACCACTGCGTTCGCTTCCTGCTGGATATTCCCAGAGAAACACAATGGCAGGAGCACATCTCCAACACCACTCTCCTTGAACGAGCCAAGATACAGCCGATCGAGAAGTCACTGAAAACGCGTCGACACCCACCCACCCACCCACCCACCCACCCACACACACACACACACAGAGACACACACCTGGCCTGGTGTTAAGCTGCTAAATGCTTGGCCATGCCGCCCCCGAGACAGGGGAGAGTAGTACACACACACACACACATAAAATATTCACACACATGATGTTTAACAAGTAGAATAGTAAAATACGCTGTCTTACATTGGCATGTGGTTCCGTTACCACACATCAGTCCCCCCGTACACCTTGGATTACAGGTGTCTGGACAAGAAAACACCAAGATGGAGTGAAAACATGTGTCTGTGGTGCATACCATATTTCTCTGATCGTAAGTCACACTCGATTGTAAGTCACACTGACTTACGATCGATTGTAAGTCACACTCGATTGTAAGTCACACTCGATCGTAAGTCACACTCGATCGTAAGTCACACTCGATTGTAAGTCGCACTCGATTGTAAGTCACACTCCATTGTAAGTCACAATCGATTGTAAGTCACACTCGATTGTAAGTCACACTCGATTATAAGGTGAGACAATGTTGGCTTGATAGAGTTTTGTTCATCGCTTGTTTGTACTTGCTGTGGCGTGACTCGTTTGTAGACCCATAAATAGTGAGATTATTCGGCCATTTTTGAGGGGTATGGCTTTTCACTGAGCAAAGCTGAGTTCATGGACGGCTTGTGCCTCCGTTATGGTGGGATGCCGCCGAGGTTACCAACTCATTGCTTTTGTGGACGGGACAATGGTATTGACCATTTTTTGTCATGTCCCCTTGGTGGGTTTACCATTATCTGCCATAATGAGCTCCGGGATGTGACAGCCTCTCTCCTTCAAGAGACCTGTCACGATGTCTCCATTGAGCCACTGCTGCAGCCACTCACTGGAGAGAGAATGAGATACAGGTCTGCTATTGTGGAGGAACATGCGCGGCTTGATGTAGCGGTCAGTGGTTTGTGGGGCAGTCGTTTTGAGCGTACTTTACTTGGTATACGGGGTTTCAATCCTCATGCACGCTCAAATCGATCTGCACCACACGCCATGAAAAAGAAAAGCGACGATGTTATGAAGAGAGAGTGAGAGAGGTGGAGCATGCGACGTTCATGCCTGTTGTGTTGTCGGCAAATGGTGACATGGGAAGAGCGGCGACATCACTCTATCGCCGAATCGCGTTATTGAGAGCGGAAAGGAGGAAGGAGCAGTACTCCCACGTAATATCTTTTATCAGAGGCCGTCTCTCATTTGCCCTGTTGCGGTCATACATCATGTGTTTGCAGGGTTCACGGGGTCTTTTCCGTGAGCGATCGGTTCGGCATCCGGAGTCTGCTGAGCTGGTTGTTGCTGAGGCCCAGGTTGCTCGCATGTGAGAATCTATAAATTGCAGCAGATTATTTTTATTATAAATACTGGACATGGATACTGTACTCAGTGACTTTTTACAATTTACAGGCTACGTTTTATTATTAAGAAAGGGTTTGCTCCCCACACCGGAGCTCGCGCTATTCCGCCGACTTTACTTGACACTTGACTGACTCACGACTGCCATCCAGAGCACACGAGAAGTCCATCGAACCTTCGACTCGGCAAACCTGCAAGAAAGCACATCTCCCTGCTCAATACACAGTGTTTCGGGGAATTCACCCCTCATCAGTTGAGCTTGAGTAGGCTGAGGAAGATTGTGCCTGAAGAGCACCACTTATATAGTGCTCTCCAGGCACAAACATCACCAGGGATCCAAACTTACAGAGACGATGATTTGTAAGAAAGGGTTCTTACAAATCATCGCCGAAGTCGCAACCACTACTTCGTACTGTTGTGCCCAGCGCGGGCTTGCGACTAGTTGGTTTGGAGGTGACAGCGTTGCGAATGACCGAGGGTCCTCAACGTCTGGTCTCACCATCCAGGAGCGACACTGACTCACGCTGCTAGCTGGTGTTCACGAGGTGTTTGTCGCGCTGGAAATGGAGCGTCTCTGTAAGTTTGTATCCCTGGTGATGTTTGTGCCTGGAGAGCTCTTCAGGCACAATCTTCCTCAGCCTACTCAAGCTCAACTGATGAGGGGTTAATTCCCCGAAACACTGTGTATTGAGCAGGGAGCGGTGCTTTCTTGCAGGTTTGCCGAGTCGAAGGTTCGATGGACTTCTCGTGTGCTCTGGATGGCAGTCGTGAGTCAGTCAAGTGTCAAGTAAAGTCGGCGAAATAGCGCGAGCTCCGGTGTGGGGAGCAAACCCTTTCTTACAAATCATCGCCGAAGTCGCAACCACTACTTCGTACGTTTTATTATTATTATTATTATTATTATTGTAAAGCTTTCCTTTTGATCTTGTCTCTTATTGTTGTAACCTTTCCACAATAATTGTGTTGCATTGTCCAAAAACATTTTTTTGAGGGGTATGCAAGTTTCAAGGTTCCCTTCAGAAACTTTTTCAAGGACTTTCCACAATCGATTTACACCCCAAAGGGAACATACCTGCAAATTTCGAGCGAAATCGGTTTGGTTGGTTTATATGCTACTTCCCAGTACAACTCAAAACCTGCGCTCAGAACTACTTGAAACTACAGCCACTTTTGCAAACAATGGAGAGGCCCTCTGGAGAGCGCAGATGTGCTGTAGGGGTTGATGGGAGAAAGGTGTGCGATACACAACATTCCTATTTCTTAGTACGGAGGCTTTACTCAACTACAGCAGTTAGCTATAGTGAGATGGTCCAATACCATGATTGAGAAGTAGGATATCAGGAGACACTACAAATGTATGCAAGAATGAACGCTCTCCAATGCAGTATACAATATCCACAGTACCCAGAACCTGGAGTCCCTCACCATTAGCCGCACACAAACGGGGAGCAGCTTGCAAGGGCACATCACCATACGTGGACAAAAATGTTTGCTCATGCAACATAGAAACACAGGAAGCAGAGTCAATTAACACCGTTACACACTTGCCTTGAACATGGAGATCTAGCGTAGGGACTACAGACGATACAGCCTCGATACGTACTCCATCTGATGGCTCCTCGTGAACGACTGGGAGTTGTCCCACACCACCAGTCGTACTCAGTTTCCCGAGCGCCAAGGGTTGTGCGGGCAATCTAGAGCAAAATGGCCAGGTTGTCCACAACCACAACAAATCGGTGGTTCCACCTGACCACCACGACCATACGAATGTTCACGACCACTGCTACTACTATGAGGCTGATCAAATTCGAAACTTGCTCCTGTTCGTGGAGCAACAATTTCCAAACAGCTGAGTCTCTTTTCGAGGTCTGTCAACCTGCGATCAAGTTTCTCGAGCGCTTGAGCTAGTTGATCACGCACTCCGGTGTCATTAAACTGGAGTGCAACTCTGAGGCACTGGCATGTTCGTCAGACGGTATCTTGAACGGAGGAGGTCGAGGGGACCTGGTCGTCTTTCTGCCTTTGGACTTGCCCATCTCGATATCTCAACTATCAAAATAATGGCACAAGCTACAAACATTAAAGGGGAAACTCAGATGTTGAGCCATAAATAAATGTAGAAGAGAAAAGGAAATATGGATACGAGTTAAGAGTAACTCTCCATCACTGTCTCAGTACTCTGTCAGTTTTGTGCCTAGTTATTGCACTTTCTGACTGTATATAGTATCATGTTACAGTGATGGAGAGTTACTCTTAAAGGGGAAGTTAAGGCAAAAAATAAAATTTCACCAGTTGTAGTCTTCGGGGTGCTGAGTCGAATGGTCGTGGTCCGAGGAAGCTGAGACGCTCCCTTCCTACTTGAATCCCAATCGAACTCGCGCACTTCCACCGAAACTGGGTGACTGCGCCCTACTAGATGGGGATTTGTATGCAAAATGTCACTAAAAGCGCCATTTCGTTCTTATAAAAGCACGGGTGACCGCGATTGGCCCATAGGTTGTAGTCTTATGGACGCTGAGTCGACTGGTTTTGGTCCGAAAAGGCTGCGATGCAGCGTTCCTCCTTTATTCCCAATCGAACATGGTTGAACAAGCGGTCACGTGCTCCTGCGTACGCCAGTCACCTGGTCACCGTGCCTGCAGGGTACAACTTACTAGCCTGTTTGACCTTTTTTGGGTGCAGTCCTGTCACTTGAGTTGAACATTGGTGTGAAAGTTGTCGCCTGCTGGCGTGGTGACCAGGTGATTTGGGCACCCAGGAGCACGTGACCGCTTCTTCAACCATGTTCGATTGGGAATAAAGGAGGAACGCTGCATCGCAGCCTTTTCGGACCAAAACCAGTCGACTCAGCGTCCAAAAGACTACTTTCCACCAAGGTTCAACTTAAGTGACAGGACTGCACCCAAAAAAAGGTCAAAACAGGCTGTAAGTTGTACCCTGCAGGCACAGTGACCAGGTGACTGGTGTACCCAGGAGCACGTGACCGCTTGTTCAACCATGTTCGATTGGGAATTAGGGGCGAACGCTGCATCGCAGCCTTTTCGGACCAAAACCAGTCGACTCAGCGTCCAAAAGACTACAACATATGGGCCAATCGCGGTCATCCGTGCTTTTATAAGAACGAAATGGCGCTTTTAGGGACATTTTGCATACAAACCCCCATCTAGTAGGGCGCAGTCACCCAGTTTCGGTGGAAGTGCGCGAGTTTGATTGGGATTCAAGTAGGAAGGGAGCGTCTCAGCTTCCTCGGACCACGACCATTCGACTCAGCACCCCGAAGACTACAACTGGTGAAATTTAAATTTTTGCCTTAACTTCTCCTTTAACTCGTATCCATATTTCCTTTTCTCTTCTACATTAAAGGGGAAGTTAACTCCTGGGTACACCAGTCACCTGGTCACTGTGCCTGCAGGGTACAACTTACAGCCTGTTTTGACCTTTTTTTGGGTGCAGTCCTGTCACTTAAGTTGAACCTTGGTGGAAAGTTGTCACCTGCTGGTGTGGTGACCAGGTGATTTGGGCACCCAGGAGCACGTGACCGCTTGTTCAACCATGTTCGATTGGGAATAAAGGAGGAACGCTGCATCGCAGCCTTTTCGGACCAAAACCAGTCGACTCAGCGTCCAAAAGACTACAACATATGGGCCAATCACGGTCATCCGTGCTTTTATAAGAACGAACTGGCGCTTTTAGTGACATTTTGCATACAAATCCCCATCTAGTAGGGCGCAGTCACCCAGTTTCGGTGGAAGTGCACGAGTTCGATTGGGATTCAAGTAGGAAGGGAGCGTCTCAGCTTTCTCGGACCAAGACCATTCGACTCAGCACCCCGAAGACTACAACTGGTGAAATTTTGATTTTTG